TCAATGTCGATCAGTTAATGCTGGCCAATAAATCGACATCTGAGGCAAGCGTTAGTCTGAGGCACAACATATACACCGTAAAAACAACGTAGACACCGAAATATCTCAAGGCACAGTCTTAGTGTAACCACGTATACGCGGTTTTTTCAATGTTTACGTGATTCATCTGATTTCCATGCTACTGAGCCACTCATCATTACCATTTTAATATAAGTCATGAAATAATCGAAAGAAATTAATCAATATACTAAAATTGGACATTGTTAACAAAATGGATGAGGAATTACTAATCAACTATGTACATTCGGATGATTTACCGAGAAAATAAAGAAATTATTTACAATAATAAAATTTAGTTCGTTACATTATGCAAAAGAATAATTGAATCACGATTTTGAAGAAATAACTGAAGTTTTTATTTTATAATGCAAATTCAACTTTTATTTAATACGTATAAAACTTTAATTTAGATTTAATTCTACCAATAAAAGATATTTTTGTTACATCCACTCCAGGTTTTAGAAAACCTTTTTGCTTGTTCGAAATCTTTAATGTCATTTGCCATTTTTGGATAGGTTAAAGTTCGATTTAATGTTTCGAAACCATTTTTTTTGCTCGGGAAAATTATTTTCAAAACTATCAAGCACCTAAACATAACATTAATAAATATTTATTTAAACACTGAAATATAATGATAAAAAAATTTTTTAATACCTCAAAGAGTTTTTCTGTACTTTCTTGAAATTCCAGATTCGGATCCACTATCTTCAGCATTCGATTCCTCATTATCTAAATTTTGGTTTTCTGAATTTCCAGACTGATCATTAAATTGATTTGTATGCGATCAATTAAGGTCGACATTCAAATATTTTCTCATAAAGTTTCATAATAAAAGATATTGAGAATTTCGTTGTACCTAAATTAATATATAGAAAATTTTAAACTATAACAACATAATCTAATAACAATTCCAAAAAAAATGATGCATTCATCTACACGATTAACAAAATATTGCATACAGTAATAAGAATCTGGTCTTAAAAAAATAAGGATAAGAACATGCCCAATTATAATCGGTTATAAGGCTATCTATTGTTTGATTCTACTCAGTTTTGAATCTTTACATAACGATGGTGTTCATGCCGGAGTAATTGAAACCGATGCAACTATACTGGTAATAATTTTTTGTAAGAATATATCAAGATCAATATGGGGCTGGTTGATTAATCCCTTTTTACAGTTATACCTGGGCACAAAAGTCCCAGCGTTACCGACAATCGAGGGCGCAGTCACATGATCTTCCGACACGATCAGCCAATAATAAGTCACAATTTTGCGTAAAATAACACGATCAAAACAAACGTTCATTTTGAAAAAATCGCCTATTTCTCGAAAATTTGCATAAGAAACCGCCTTTTATGCTCTAACAAAAAAAATTCCTTGCTAAATTTTGCATGTATATAATACCTTACTAAAATCCCAGGCATCCGCCCTAACCCTAAAGTAAACGAACTTAAAATTTTTTCTGGTCATAAGACTGCGCCCTCGATTGTCGGTAACGCTGGATTTGCTCCCTGGGCACTATGTGTTTAAGCGGAAATTTCATTTCCGCTTATACCCAACTGCCCAGGATATGACTATTACGTATCCGAGTCATATATGACGGACCGGACATTTTCGGACATTGTCCGATGTCCCTGGTACATGGCTTTAGACGACCCCCGTAATATGCAGTGATCTACATCACGTGTTCAGAAAATCTGGACGCTGTTCCTGTTACGCGTATACATACACTGTTACACCAATGTAGATCTTTATTTATTTTTACTGTTTTGTTGTCTTTTTTTTTTTTGTTGTTTTTTCATGTTTTTCACGAGTTTTTCACTTGGATTTTTCTTATAATGAACGTAGACAAAAAAATGTTTCTAGGTGCGTTTGTACTTGGTGTTTCGCTTTTCTCTTCTCTCTTGGTGCCTTCTAGGTGAATATATTTACTTTATTTGTTGCTTTGATATTTTTAATTGAAAAACGTTCACCAAGGTTTTCTTTCTTTATTTGTGATTTTCGCTTGTCTTCGTTTGGAATTGTTCGTTACTTTGGTTTCCTTTGATTGAAATATATTCACTGGCGCTTTTCACTTCTCTTTTATTTTTACTTGTCTTGTTTGAAATTGGATTTCAGATTTTAGGTGGGTATATATTACTTGTTTTGGTTACTCTGATTTTCTTTAATTGAACATATTCAATGATGCATCTCTTTTTCTCTTTTGGTGTTTTTCGCTTATCTTTGTTTGGAATTGAACTTCCGATATTTTTCGATTAACTTTGCTTGAATTGAGCTCCGGGATTTGAGTCAGGTTCTTATTTTGTTTTTGTTTTCTTGGTTAGGAAACACAAGAAAGTCTAGGCTGCGTCGGAAAAGTTTCAGATTCGATATATGGTTCACTCACTATACACTGATATCAGCTAAATTGCTTTAATTAAAACACTATAACAATGTTAATCAAACCCTAATATTGGTAAGGCACGGAAAAACTCGGTCAATTAATTGAGTTTTATAGAGATTGTGTTGGGCCCGATAAGTGTTCTTTTATTTTTCATTTGGACATTTCATTCGCTTTTTTACCATTTTACTAATTCTTTCTTTAGTTAGCAGCTACTGCATCTATAGGTTACGTGGTTACGACACAAAATCAGTTACGTGGGTTTGCGACCTTGTAACTCGCCCCGGTTATTGCACTTTTTAGGGTAGTGATAGAGATCTACTAATTCCCTGTTAAGTTTATATCCGGTTGGAATTAAATTTATGGTAGAGATCTACTAGTTCTGCAGAAGGGGTTAGTTGCGTCTTTACCTCATCCACATTCATTGGATTGAAATGTAAATTTAATTTGCCGTCGAACCCGCGGTAGCATGGGGGCAAATCTAAAGACGGATCTTGCGATCTTGTCGCCCTGCCTTCACTATTTGCACCTTTTCAGGGCAACGGTAGAGATCTATTAACTCCATGTTAAATTTAAGGTCCGGTTTGAATTACTTTTTAACTTTCATTGCCCGCATCCACATTAATTCCCGTCGAACTCACTTTAGTTTATGGCAAATTTAAGGATGAATCTTGCGATCTTGTAACTCGCTCCGGTTATTGCACTTTTTAGGGTAGTGATAGAGATCTACTAATTCCCTGTTAAGTTTATATCCGGTTGGAATTAAATTTATGGTAGAGATCTACTAGTTCTGCAGAAGGGGTTAGTTGCGTCTTTACCTCATCCACATTCATTGGATTGAAATGTAAATTTAATTTGCCGTCGAACCCGCGGTAGCATGGGGGCAAATCTAAAGACGGATCGTGTGATCTTGTCGCCCTGCCTTCACTATTTGCACCTTTTCAGGGCAATGGTAGAGATCTATTAACTCCCTGTTAAATTTAAGGTCCGGTTTAAATTACTTTTTAACTTCCTTTGCCCGCACTCACATTTATTGGATCGCTAACATTAAATTTATTATCACTTAAGTGAATTGTTCACTCACTGCATATCACGTGAATATGATTAACAATTAAATTCGTTTGAAAATTTATGTAACGTCATGAGTCAATATATAAGTGTTTTTTTTTTTACATTCTTGTTCTTGTTATTTTTTTTTTTTTATAGTAAACTTATTTGATTAGGTTATCCGATTTACGGCTTCGTTTTCAGTTAATTTGGTGAGATGCTTGTGAATTGGGTTATAGATTAGGGTTGGGTGAATAGTCTTATAGAAAGTTTTTTAATCTTAATCAAAGATTATTATTATATCGAGATTATAAATAAGTTAGCTGCGTGACATTGTTACGAAAAAACAAGAACGAAGATGTGAGGCGTATTATATTTAGTAAATGTATGGTTGTTGCATTATTGGAGTGTGCAATGTATAGGATTTTTTTTATTATTATAAGTAGCTTTTGTACGAAACTAATAATAGGGAAATATGTTATATATAAGAATTTAAAGACGGACTTTTAAATTAAATTTTGTCAAACTTAGAGGTAGACCTTATACCATAGACATGTCATAATTGTAGCGGGTTATGATGTTTTGCTATAACTTATACCAATTTATGGCATTGACCAGGCAATTTCTAGACTAGATAGAGTTTAGAACCGATTTTATTTTTCATATGTTAAAACCAGTTTTCTACAACACTTAATTCGAATACAAATAACTGTTATGCTCATAATTAGGGGAATAAATAAGCTAGTAAATCTTTATGAATTTAATTGCTTATTAGAAAGAGAAAACTATTAATGGTCTGAAGGATCAAATTTATGTACAATATAAACTTTATACGCAGTTGTACCTATACATGGGTGTCTAAAATAGGGATGATTTACGGCAGACGGAATGGCTAAATTTTTTGGTATTTTCGCCAGTGTCTCAAAATGTTACGTGTCTAAATTGTTTTTGGTTACTGAAATTATTATTGACTACCGAAATTATAGTGACTGCCTATATTATTATCGACTGTCGATATTATAATAGACTGCTGATATTATTATAGACTGTCGATATTATTATAGACTGTCGATATTATTATAGACTGTCGATATTATTATATTTAAAAGGCTTTAATCCTAGCAAATTTTATTATTTCATTTATTCATATTCACTTTATTGTCACATTTTACCAACCTTTTATTTAATATTAACATTAAAAGATCGTTTTCAAGAGTATCATATCGGTATTAAGAATTTTCTATTATAAATCAAGCACCCTTTTGCTATAAAAATTATATTCTACAAAAGTTAATAAAACCTGATACTTAGAATAATCGATCAATTTTTAAATAAAGTTATTACTTAATATGTACTGTAACTTGAGTCCCAAATAGGGTTGTAAATTTACATCAATTTTTAAATTTTTTATGTAAGGTAAGTTAAAGCCATGTAACTTACATGTAAGTTTGTAAATTAAATTATATATAATATAAAATAATATATTCTATATAGATATATAATATTTCATTAACAATTTCTTTATTAACAATTTACTTACTAGTAAGTTTATTTATTGAGAGTTATTTTATCAACAACTCATTTTATTAATAATTATTTTTTATAAAATATATTAACTTTGACTCTAACTTAATTCTTATAAAATAACTAAAATTACTTTATCAATAAAATAAACTGTTAGTAAAATAACTATTAGTAAAATAGACTTGTTGGTAAAATGAACTTGTTAATAAATTAATTATTAATGAATTAAGCTGTTAGTAAAATGATTTTTGGTAAAATGCATACTATTCTACTAGAGATAATATTAGTATAAATAATCTAATTAGTTAATTTATTATATTATATATAATAACTTACTATACATCCAAAAATTTTAATGTAATTTACATGTAACTTACAGGTAAGGTAAGTATGTAAGTTACAACCTTCCAACCCTAGTCCCAAATAATTTCTTACGACTTACAAGTAACTGAATTCGATGTTGAATATTCTTTTCTTCCGAGATTTGAACAATAAATGTTATACGATTTCTCTAAAATAATTGATCGAATTTAATTTGTTCTTAGCTCCTTAAGAAATCAAGTTATTACCTGATATATGTACGTAAGAAAGTATTGTAGAGAATGTATCAAATATTATGGAATTGCATTCTTATTGTATAGCTAATGCCTTAACTACACGGTTTCTCAGTCAGAATTTGAGCAAGTTATAGAAAAAATTACGTGAATATGATTGAGTTTGATAATGATATGTATGTGTAATAAAAGGGTCTAGGCCAAATCCTGAAAATCAAAATCCTAGCGTTCCCATCCATTATGTATACAATATTGGGCAGACGATAAAAAATAACAGGAAATTGTTTTCAGCGGATTTAATGTCATCCCATGTGCTGCTACGCAGCACATGAGTGACATTAAACTCCGATGAAAACAATTTCCTGTTATTTGAGTATGCCCAATATTGGTGTTATCCGGCAGTAATATATGACCATGTGATGTTTTTTCCTGTGATATTTTTGCATAAATGATTACGTAATATCATGCAAAAAATATCAAGGCAAAAAAAATTCACATGATCATATAAATGCCGGATAACTATTTATTATCCATTAGATATTCGTAACCCGTTGTCGAAGTATCCTATCCAAATTTATCGGATATCATTTTACTATTGATATTCGAATAAAGATCCGAATATCTGTCGGATTATCCAATATGGATTATCCAGATAATTCAGATATAGATAAATGGATGACGGATTTATCCAATTGGCGATAATTAAGTTCAGAATTTTTCTAGACCCAAGATGAAGAGTTCGATGATGATTATACTTCTGACTAATATTCAATATATTCAATTTTTAAGATTATTTTATCTAAAGATTAGTTTCATTATTCTAAATCTCATCGCATTTTAAATATTTAATTTTCGACATTTAGAATATTTTAGACATCCAAAATATTTCAGACATCCTAAAATATTTTAGGCATCAAAAATATTTTAGATATCCGAAAATATTTGAGAAGCCTAAAATAATTTTTGCAGCCAAAATTATTTACGATTTAGGCTGTCTAAAATAATTTAACCATTTAAATTTACGACAAGAGTAAAATAATTTAGGCACCCATGTATAGTTGTACCTACCAACTACCATTCGTATTTCTCAAAAATTTCATCAGTGTTTGAATTTACAATTTAATAGTGTAAGGTAGTGATTTCAAAGATTTCTGTGTTGTGGTTTCAATCG